CCCCCCCCCCCCCCACCCCCCCCCCCCCCCCCCCCCCCCCCCCCCCCGAAATGAAATCCTAGATACGGCCCTGGTTCTCAGGCCTGAATAATTTTTCCTTTTTAATCCCATTTCTAAGCATATTGCTTACTAAATTATGAGGAAAAGGATTTTCCAGAAGCAAAATTCCTGCGGCTTGTGGTTCTGACTCGTGAGAATGAATTCATCCGTTGTTGCAGACGTGGGAAATTTCTGCGGAACGTGGAATCCTCAGGCTAGCTATCCCACGGTCCAAGGTCGTGGGGTCCGCAGACCGCAGGGTCATGGCGCCGCGCATGTGCCATGTGCTCCCCTGTCGCAGCCAGTCCGTTGGCCTGCCGTTTCTAGGCCACGTTGCATATTATCTTCCGTCATTCCAGACCTATTCTCATTTCTTTGAGCCGTAGTCCACGATTTACGCGAAAAAAGTCGATCCAGTGATAGGGTGCGGCCTAGCACCCTAACGTTAGGCTCTACTGTTAAGACCAAGGCTTACATAGAGTTAATGGATAGGGTAGATCCCATGGTAGGCTAGACTTAACACAAGGTCTGGATTTGCGGTATCTATTGGTCTAACTTATAACTATGTAGACTATAAGTTTATGTGTAATGTTAGACTTTGACCCATGAAGAGCCACAAGGCATTTCTGATCTGCATCCAGAAAAACTAAAACCCAATCATAAACCCTATATCTGAATGTGAAGGCTGATGAACTTGAGGTTGAGCCTCGTTTGCTCTCTTCTCTCGCCTCCTCACAAAGGGAGATGTCTAGTTTGCAATTCTCATGCATTTTGTTTTTGACCTCATATTGCAGGTTTCTGTCATCTGGACTCAAGGGTTTGAGATCCCCTTCTAGCAGTGATAAGAGGACCATGCCGCAGCTAAATTCTAGTCTGAGCAATGGAAGTGGGACCGAATATACAGGGAACAATGATTACATTGATCATGTTCCTGATGGAACAGCTGAAGCTCATCCATTGGAGAGGGACTCTTTTCTCTTCACCTCTGAATCAGTTGGAGAGGGACATCCAGGTTGGTTATACCCTTCTCCATTGCCCAGTATGCTACATAGGCTTAAGTCTTGGGCATAGTCCAATTAGCCATGTGCCATATTTATGCTATTCTATAGGTATATGGTCTTGGTGTTTGCCTACCCAGTTTAAAATCCCAACTGGAATATTCCAGCTGGACTGAATCTGTAAATTCTGACCATTTCCAGCTGGCAAAGAGCTGGAAAACAGTAGGTACCAGTTGTTTCTTAGCTGGAATTTTCCAATTGGAATGCAGCTGGTTTTAATAGCTGTTTCCAGCTGGAAATTTTCCAGTTGCAAATTTATAAAGAGGACCCTACAGCTGGAATGTGGCTAAATTTATAGTTGAAAATCAGCTGTTCCTGTTGATGGACCTCCAACAAAAATAGTATTTAAAAAAATTCTCATTCAGTTTGCGATATAGCAATTAGGAAGAAATCTGGAGATGACTACTTTCCAGCTGTTACCCAGTTGGAATTGGTCTGAATATACAGCTGGAGACCAGCTGGAAATTATAGCTGTTTCCAGCCAGGATTTTAAACTGGGTACTACAGGAAGTTCTACTAGGTGTACAGATCTGTATCCCCCCTGATACTTGGTAACTGATCCTAATGTTTAGCAGACCACATAGACCAAGGTCTATGAAAATTTAGCCATGGAATGTGCTACCATCGTAGCTTGCATTGTTTTTCAATTGTATTCAGTGTTTCACTTGATTACATCATGCCTGTGGCAGGCTAAGCTTGTTTTAATTCATATCTTCCTTGGGCTGATCAATTTTGAAGTTAACTGAAACCCTGTCAGTGTTAAATAGTCAGCCAGAATGTGTAAATGGTCCAAATTTTATGGATCTCAATTGTTTGTGCATGCTTGGGCCTCCACTGATGAGGAGCGAGCGATAAGCCTTCAAACATGATCAGCTTGACATGAGTACTTGTTAATGCTGTCTTGGTACATCCTACATAGTTATGCAGCATGTTGTGTCAACACACAAGGAAGTCTTTTTTCCATCTGTGCATAGGGCCAAGAACTTTTGATGCTGTTTCACCAAAGTGTAGGAGAAATCTCCTGAACTCTGGATGAGGACCTAAATAGTACCAGCATAAATTAATAATTGCAATAAAAAGGAAAGTGAACTCCTCGTGTTCATCCTATGCAAAGTAAGCACAAACTACATGTCAGAGTGCCAGAAGTGTAGGACCTTGGGTGCAAAGCACTCCATCACCTTCATGACCTATTGCTTTTTTCATAACTAATATGGGGTGATCAGGGACAAATTTCGCTCATCATTTTGGTAGTTGCTGATATGTGCAACACCTGTTGCTTTTAGAGGTGCTACAGCCTTTTAGGAAAATGAGAAAAAAGGGGTAGGAAAACATTTCTTTTAGAATTTTACACCCTTAGATATGCTACACTTTTCTAACTTGTCAGATACATGAATGTAATGATTGTTTCATTATGATTTGATGTTGATGTTCCCTCCTTTCATGTGTGTCCATACCTGTAAGACCTCCTTTGTGATTTTCAGGCATTGTCAGGGTTATTGGAAAAAATAGACTCCAATGCTCTTGGGTACTGTACTAGGTCTTTTTTATGGCTTGCAGCCTGCATGCTTGCACACTCAGTAAATAAAAGCAATCCTTCCTGGGAATGATGAGAAGGGTAAAGGGGATTAGTGAGGCCTACCACCCTGCAGTTGTCTCAACTCTGTCTCCCAAGCATTCTTATTAATAGATCACAAAATTTGCTAATTGCAGACATGACCTTGTTTAACATCTATCCCTTAGTCAAAGAAATTCGTTTCAAGGGTTTGAGATTGGACTCAGGCCTGAATTAAATATGTTTATGAATACTGGAGTTTGTTCTTTGATTCCTCAGATAAGATGTGTGATCAGATAAGCGATGCCATTCTGGATGCGCACTTGAGAGATGATCCCAATGCCAAAGTGGCCTGTGGTGAGGAAACCTCTTTTAATTTGAGTGTATTTTGCTTGTTCATGATTGGTTTCTTTCCATCACTGGAATACCTTTAAATTTCTTTCTTTAGAGTGTGTTGCTAAGACAGGAATGATCCTAGTTTGTGGAGAGATCACATCCTCAGCCATAGTTGACTACCAGCATATTGTCCGTGAAACGGTCAAACGCATTGGCTATGACGATTCCAAGAAGGGTATGTTTAATTTTTGTGGATCTCAATCAGATTTTGAAATTACATCATTGATTTTGATTTGCCTTTTTTGGGGGAAACAAACCAATTTATGTTTTAATTTGAAAAAATTAATTAGTGATTTGATCTTGACTCTTGAAGTCACAAATCATATTCATAGTATAGAAGAAGTTAAATATTCTTGTGATGCAGATGTAACTTAAGTATTTACACTGGCAAAGGCATGAACACTCCCTATCTTCAAATAAAATTGTATATCATTGATCTGAATCAAATCTTTGATGGTATTTAGATTTTTAAAAATAATTATTTTGAATGGACTTATAAGTTGTGATTTGATTTATTTATTAAACTCCTAATCTCATACAAAATACATGAATTTAGATATTCTTGTTATTAGGAATATGAATTTAATAATTAGATATGCTGGTACAAATATGACCTGTTGCAGTATTTGAATTGTGTTAATTATTTAATGATTTGTATAAATGTATTTTAATTAATATTTTGGATGATTTTTGCCCAGCTATGATTGTCAACCAAGAAGTCTATACTTACTTGCATTCTCAATCAACCCCTTACGACATTGGCCAGTTGTATTGAGAATTCTTCAGCTGATCCTGATTTCATCTGGGTGTATTTTAGTCATGGTGTTGGTGGATGGTGCATTGCTACAAGTTTACATATATGAAAGAGAGAGAGTTTTTAAGGTTGCTATGGTACAAGTATAAATTATAGTAATTCCTTTGGAAATTCCAAAGTACTTGACTTTTTACAGGCAGAGGTTTTGCTCTGGTTATTTCACTGATGAGAGTTTTTCCCTAGGTTTTGACTATGCAACATGCAATGTGATGACAGTGATTCATCAGCAGAATCATGAGATTGCTGCAGGTGTCCACAAGAACAAAGAGGAAGATGAATTTGGGGCTGGGGATCAGGTAGAATTCAGCAAAACAAATTTTTTGCATGGAAATTAATGGATACAGAGGGGAAGGCATATATCAACTGGCAATAACCATTACAGACTGAATGGCAAAAAGGAGAGGGAAAACTTGGCTGAAGGTGAAGGGAACCCACTAACTTTCTTTAAAAAAAATTGCATGTCACACTGCTTGCAGGTTTTGATTACAAAACATGCAGTGTAATCTTGGCGACACAGGAGCAAAGTTCGAACATAGCATCTGGAGTTCATGAGGACAAGTCCCTTGATGATATTGGAGCTGGTGATCAGGTGAAAAATTCCCATCTCTCTTTGGGTTCGCCTTCTGTCACATATACCTGATTGCTCCTTTGTTGATATGTAGACAGGTATTGCACACATTGCTTTTGTTCCCTTCTGGATTCCAGAATGTGTATTTTGATTTACTAAACCTGTTTCCTGTGTTTTCGCTGAGACAAAACTGTGAGGCACTAAATGTACTTAAGGAATGCCATATCTTTGCCAGGATATGATGGGAATGATTGTATGGTTCTCGTTCATTGCATGGCACAAAATTCAACGATTTTAAGTTGAATTTTTCTGGATTGCCTTCCCTATGACCTGCTAGCAATCATATTTTAAATAAGTGCTGCCTCTCAGCTTATTATTTCTTGCTCGTGTCTTGGCATGCCTAATCCATTCACTTACTGCATGTCCTTCCACTTCATTAGGCAGTTCTGTCCCAGTACTTCATATTCAACACATTCAAGTTTTATTGGTGTTAGCTCTAAAACATGCTATAAATTTATCGGAATTAAAAGTTAAAACTGTTTCTTGGCTTTCTTGCACCATACATTTAGTTTGATTTGCACTCTATCATTGGAGTGCTATGTAGGAATTGCCATGTTTTTTAAAATGCAACTTTCATGAACCTTACCAATAATTGGAGAAATTCTTGTATTTAATTGCTTGTTGTCTCATCTCTATTGGGTCTGCTTCCATCACCTGACTCTCTGAATATCCCATTGAATTCCTTGCAATGAATTTACATTTACTGTCTGCCTACCATCTGGTGGTGGTTCTGGTCTTCTCTCATATTTAATAAATTTGCCACCTGCTGTCTTTTATTGATGCTGAATTTTTGCATGGCTGCATCACAGTATGCAGGATGACAAATTTTCCCTCTAAATGTGAAATTGAATGACTGGAGGGGTTGGGCAAGGTTCAAAATGGAGATTTGTAAGATACTGGTGCTTGTTGATACTTTTTGTGTTGCATAATTGCTTCAAGTATCTATCAGAGTATGTGTTTGAAGACCAGAAATGTGATTTGTGTAACTCAATTAGAAGCTAATGACTGGAGTCATGGTTGACTGTATGAAGCTAATGGTACTGACTTTTTCTCAATTAGCTGACCCCAATGAGCTATACAAGGTATCGGTGATTGTGTTACATTTGGTACCTGTTTCTATCAATACTGATTCACTCAAAGTACAGTTATCAACAAAATGTTGGCATTGGTGCATATATAAGTTTCAACAGCAATCAGTATTAAATATATATAAGATGCTTTCTATAAGTATAGGATTTTAATTAGTTACTCAAGAGAACCTCTTCTGAAACATAAATGATTCTCAAATGCCTTGAGACTGAGTTACATTTCATCATCACCATTGAGCATTAACTCTTTAACTTTGTTCTTTGGTATACATGTGTTGAAAGTTGGGAAGAAAGTCAGGCAATTCAGCTTTTCTAAAGGAGTTTCTGCCTGACGATAACAAACTTGATCATCCTTCAAGAATGCACACTGGCTGATTTGTGATAGACTGATGTAGTAGTTGCATCCAATATGTTTGGATTGTTGAACTTGCATTGAAATGGAACCTTGTTTGAGTTGATAAACATATATATTAAAGTTCTGACCCATAATGCAGTTTTCAGTGTGATGGAGAGAAAGGGTGATTTGCCACTCTTCAGATATTCAATGGTTTTAATAATCTATATACTGGGTGAGACAAAAAAAATGCACTGCACTTTGGGATTCATTGGAGTTCATGAGATAGAAGATAGCCTGACAGATTTTTTTGCAATAACTTCTACACATCCTTGAAACGTTCTAAACTTCTTGTAAGCTTTTCTCCAGCTGTTTTAGCACAGGAGTGAAAATGCAGAGGTGAATTGAATTTTGTTTTTGCGTGTGAAAACATATCAGCAGAAGAGTGGCTGGTAGGCATGGGGCACACAAATTTCAAGCCAGAGTTCCTTTGTCTCCCCATGAAAATGCTGCTCGTTGCAAAAGGATGGGGTGGGCTGTAATTTGCAAGAATTTTCAGGTAAAGGATTGAAAGAAATGTAGGCCTATTGTTAAGAGATATCTTCAGAAGCTGAGAGGAACCGGTTTATCTTAGAGGAAGTGAAGAAGCGGAAGACTAAAGTTAGCCAGAACTGAAGGAAACAGTTCATGTGGAATTGTTTCTCAAGATGGTAATCCAGGGAGGCAAAATTCTATGCAAATTGCCAGGTGTAAGGATGAGTCAGAGATCTGCTTAGTGAGTTCTGAAGTGCAGAGGAAAAAATTCTGAGAATAAATGCCATTCTGAGTGGGTGGAACAGGTCCTCCTGTCAGTGTCCAGGTGCAAGTACAAAAATAAAATTCCAGTTGCTTTTGTAAAATCACTCTTGTGCCAAAGTGGCTGGAGATAACAAGCCAAAAATTTTCAAATGCTCAAAGGATGCATAGAGATGTGTATGACAGGAATCTCATAGTTCTAGCTGCTGTTTCAGCGGTGCCACAACATTTCAAAGAGTGGCAAATTTTTTTTTTAGCTCACCTGGTATTTTCCCATTAGAGGCCTTTTAAGTATGAATTATTATTGAAGTAAATTCTACTGTCATGAAAGCAGTAAGTAAATGGAGATTTTTTAGTAGATCATGAACTTTTGGCACTCATAGTTGAACAGTTCAGTTCAGAATTGTATTCTCTGTGAATGCCCTGATCCTAGGGACTGATGTTTGGATATGCAACGGATGAGACAGAGGAGAGCATGCCTCTGACCATTGTATTAGCTCACAAGCTCAACAAGAAGATTGCTGACCTTCGCAGAGATGAGACTCTCTGGTGGGCACGACCCGATTCAAAGACTCAGGTCTGTCAGGTTTTCAGGATGGGTGGACATCCTTTAAGGTGGATGCATATTAGTCTTCTTGATTTTGAGATGCAGGTGACATGTGAGTACTACTTTGATCACGGGGCATGTGTTCCGGTGAGGGTGCACACAGTAGTGGTATCCATTCAACACTGTGAGGAAGTGGACCTTCACCAGGTGAGAAGGGACATAATGGAAAAAGTGATCCTTACCACAATCCCCAAAAAATACCTGGATGAACATACTATCTACCACATCAATCCCTGTGGGAATTTCATCATTGGAGGACCAATGGTGTGCAATGACTCCATCATTTTCTTCTTCAGTTTGCCCATTTTTGATGAATGCTATGCAATGTGTAATGATTGTGACAGGGAGATGCAGGGTTGACTGGACGCAAGATTATTGTGGACACATATGGAGGATGGGGAGCACACGGTGGTGGAGCATTTTCAGGAAAAGATTACACAAAGGTGGACCGATCAGCTGCATATGCTGCTCGTTGGGTAGCCAAGTCCCTAGTTCATGCTGGGCTCTGTCGACGCTGCCTTGTCCAGGTTCCATCTCTTTTTTTTTTTCCCCTTTACTCTCCTTTGGGAAGCTGCTGCATTCTAGAACTATGACACATTGTGTCTTCCATCTATTCAGATCTCTTATGCCATTGGGATCTCAGAGCCCCTTTCTGTGACTGTATTCAGCTATGGAACATCCAAACTCAGCCAAAAGGAACTGCTTGAGATTGTCAAACGCAATTTCGACCTTCGACCTGGTCGGATCATCAAGTCAGTTTTATTCAGGATCTACCATATCTGATTGTGTTCACTCTCTGTCTAAATTTGAGTTATAATGATTTATCATCTGACTGTACAGGGAGCTTAACCTCCGGCACCCAATCTACCAGGAAACAAGCACATATGGGCACTTTGGACGAGACATCTTTCCTTGGGAGGTCCCAAAGAAACTTATCTGAAGAGGGTCTTTTCATTCTAGTTTCTCTTGTTTCTCCTATCCCTCCTTATCCATCACTTGGATTTCAGTTTTTGTGGAATGCTAAGTCACAGATGCACCTATGTATTGGTTATTAACAGAGTGTGTCCAAAGCTTAGGCAACACTTGCATATGTGACACTGTTGAATCATCTGCCAAGAAGTGGTGGTGGATATTGTGAAAGAGTTGATAGGAACAATGGTACTCTTTGGGAACAAAGCTGCTGCCATCATTTATCCTATTCCTTCTAATGTTCTGTGATTTCATTTTGAATGAGAAGTCTCTTTGTAAACCCATAAGTATTCTTTCAGTGATTCTTCTGACTGTCTAATTTTTGGACACACTCAGCCACTAATCAAGGGGTTCTCACACTAATGCTGTTGTCTTCATTCTCTGCTTGTTCTGTCTGATAAAGCATCTCTGACCAAGGCACATTCCAGAATTGAGAGTTACTGTGTGGACAATGAGGTTGCCCCCTAATTCATTTCCTGTTCACTCTCCCAAGTCCAGTTTTGTGCTCAGTGCAAACATACTTCAAGTGTGGGGAATTGATTTGGAGCATGATACTGTATTCAGTTTAGAATCCTGTGAAAGTTGAGTCCATGCAAAACTCCCACAGCCATTAGCTGACTGGTACAGTTGTTCTGAATGGTGTTGCTTGCCTTCCCAGACTATTTTTGGGGTAAATGTAAGTTATTTTATCTTGATGTGGTCTGCACTGAACTCTGAATGTCCAACTCTTTGGTGGAAATATCTGTGTCCTTGGTCCCTCTTTTCCCTTTGTTCTCTCAAACTTCTCCCTGATATGAATGTCTCTTTTCAGTCAACCAGAGGTGGGATTCTATTAGAGCAACTTTGTAATGGAGTCACTTTTTCTTTCTGCAGTTGCCATTTGCAGGTCACTTTTCTACTGAAGTGGGAAGCTGATCTCCTTGTGCATGATAATATATAATTTTCTTGAAATAGTTGCTCTGATACAACTGTCTCAACTGGCCTCTGAAATTTCCTTTCATCATGTTTAGTACAAAATGGAAGAATTGTTGAGCTACATCATCCCTCCCAAAGGGATGCTTCCCATGAAGATGCTTCATACAGAAATGCATCTGAATCTCTGTCCTGGTGCTCAAATTTAAGGAATGGTATTCCTATGCTAATACATAGCTGACATAATGCAGAAATACATCCTCCAACTAATCTAATTCTAAGGTTTCTTTTTCCATCCTACATTTATGAGATACTTATTAAGGAAAGATATCCCATGAACTTGAGCTGCAAAGAAATTGCTCACCTGTGGGATGCTTATTACAGAAATGCATCCCACATGACTTCTGGGATGCTTACTACAGAAATGCATCCCACATGACCCCAGGGATGCTTATTACAGAAATGCATCCCGCATGACCCCAGGGATGCTTATTACAGAAATGCATCCCACATGACCCCAGGGATGCTTATTACAGAAATGCATCCCGCATGACCCCAGGGATGCTTATTACAGAAATGCATCCTTGGCTTGACAATCTCAGGAGGACTTAAGTAGGCTTTTATACAATTGTGGAGGATGAATTTCCTTTGATTATCCTGCATAGCATTCTTCTGTGAAAAGGTGAACTCCTTGATTATCCTGTGTAACTTTCCTCTGAGGAAACATGAACTCCTTGATTACCCTGTGTAACTTACTTCTGAGGGAACATGGCCAGGGTAAAATCACTTATGCAGTTTGGTTTGGTGACATTAAAAACATGATTTTTTGGTGCCTGTAATCAATTCTTGTTTTCTTTTATTGTTTCCATCCTATCCTGTCTTCTATTGAAGCCAATGCAACCAACAGAGTAGGACTGCCCAGTGCTACTTCTCAGGTATGCTGTCCAAAAATGGAACACTGCATGACAGGACATGGTTAGGAGTTATTTTTGGAGATGCTCTTTCTGTTTCGTAATGTGACAAATTGGGCGAGATAGAAAGGGTGGTTATGAGGAATTAAGAAAATTTCGATGGACCTTCCTCACATTCTGGAGGACTCTGTTTTCTCATTCTATTACTGTATCTCTTTCCCGCATCGCTTCTGGAGGAGTGGAAGTATTGGTTCCATCCTTTGGATGGAAGTGTGTATGCAAAAAATCCCATTGGTGAATCTAAAGTTCTTCAAAAAAGTTCAGCGATGACATCCGGAATTTGTAGATAAAATACCATAATAAATGAGTTTTATTTTGGTGCCTCCATCGGTCTTGCCAGAACTATTGGCAAAGTCGACATTTTGGTTGGATTAGCTGTTTCAAATATTAATCGGAACTTCGGAGGGTTGTACGGAAAAAGTTGGTATAGACCAGCCCCGAAATTACTTTCCAGACTTTCACTAATCGAACAATATTTTTCATTGCCCCGCCCTCCCGACGGCAGAAACGCAGTCCCTGCACATATAGGCTAATGTCAAAATTTGTCAAATTTGGTCTACGGTCTAGGTCTAACGATGGACAATACTAACTCGCGCAATGGGAGAGGGATAAGGAGGATTCTTTTTTCTCCCTCGCCAGACCATCTAGCCATGTTTTCTTCTCTCACCAAACCGTCGAACGTACTCATCGATGGCGAGTGGTCAGAGGGAATTTTAAAGGTAGACATAACTAACTTTGTGCAGGCAAATGAGAGTTTAAATAATTTTTCAATCGTATAGCCGCGATGAAGATGAAAAAATGAACGAAAGTCTGCAAGTGCAGAGAAGGTAGCTGGCACAAGTAGCCGGGAGTGAAATATTAAAAACTGGTCATGGATATTCTTTATCACACATGCAACCAAACGTTGGACTTTCAAACTTCACTTCCGCATTTTCAAAATAATCGCTCTTCTCCAAAACATACTTCTTCCATTGCTCCACAAGATAAGGAGTTCCAGCTGCAAAACCATTCTTTAGAAGTAACTTTCACCCATTGACTTCAAAGGCAGTCCTTGATCCATATTAAGGAATGGATATTTCGATCTTCATTAATGCACTGTATTAGTTACCAACTATTGAAAAGCAAGCTCAAGTTAGCCAAATTAAAAGGGGGTGGCCTCATCCAAGGGTATGGTGCTGCAGTACAAGCCCATCCTCATATCGCCCATGTTATTTTCTATCATCCTCTGTGTATAGGCTATGTTCCCAAGAGTATCGTAAAAATTCATACAAACGCATTGGGACGAGGCCATGCTATGAGCAATCATCCGAGAAAAGTTAAGTACCGGTGTCAGTGAATATTCTTGTCCTCTTTTGACTCATGATTTGGTGGATACGTCACTTTCCATTGTTCTTTCGATTGTAAAAAGAGACGTAGGTCTTCTCTCGCTTTATCGTTCATGGCAACTGAGTGGAGTTGTTTCGTACCTCAAATTTCTATCTGCATAGACGATCTAACAGGCTAATCCACTTTTCCATGTACGTGATGCAAGGCGTGTAGACAGAACGTGACCTTAACCCATTCCAGGAATAGTCTCAGGTCTGACATGATGCGAAGGAAAAAAACAGAGGTATTGGGAAGATACAGTGCGCTAGCAAATTGCAGGAGGGGGTTAAAATATCCGGAGAGTGGAACATACGTATATGCTGGGAAATTTCTTCCCTCCGTAAAGGATTTGCCGATGTATTTTTTTTTCCGGGGGGAATGTACCTTGTATTTCTAGGGGTGAAAATATATCGGGACGCCTCTATCAAAAATGGACAGGGTCCTATGATGGGAGTGGAGTCGGATGGAGGGAATGCTTATCAACCGGACCACATTGAACCTTTCTTCCTCTAACCCTTTCACGGTCCAGATTTTCCGAAACCTCCCTGGAGGGCGACTGATATTTCAGTGCGTGACCGTGAAAGTGTTAATAAAAGTCATACTTAAGGCTGGCTTTATCTTCCTAATAAGCCCTATTCCAAGTAATAACAGATGAACCATTAGGTACCAGAAGAACTTCCATCAGCTTCTCTCCAGTTTCTTCAGATTCTTCCTCGTTTTCATTGGAGGAGGGAATGGATCCGCTACTGCTTCCTTGTACCATACCTGCACTTTTTTGCACCTTATCTGTTCGCAAAATCATGTCCAGTAGAAGATACAGGGTGACAAATAATGGACGCTCCCAAAATAAAAATTTATTTCTCGAATTCTACAATAGTTAGGGAGAAAAAATTCAAATGGTATTGTGAACTTAAACTTAGGGAGATTATGTCATGACATGCTCGATGTGGGTACCCTTCTTTGCAATCATGCGATGCAGTCGAACAACGAAATTCAGAACGACAGCTTCGAGGGTGTCATTGGAAATATTTTCAATTTCAATCTGGATGGCTTCCTTGAGCTCCTCGATGGTTTTCGGATTGTTTACGTAGACTTTATCTTTAAGGCAACCCCACAAGAAGTAATCGCAAGGGTTGAGGTCT